GGTCTCGAACGGAACGACCGCAACGCCGGCCGAGACCAATGGCACTGGCGGGAAAGAAAAGGCGCGGACGGCCGAGATTGAGAGCGAAACGTTCCTCCTGCCCAACTCGGCCATACTGTGCCTGGAGGGCATCTCGCATTTCCTCCACCTCATCAGCGGCATCCCGTCCATGGCCGCCGACGTCGCTACCTCCCTCATCACATACCTGCAGCTCTTCAACTCCCGCTGCACCCAGCTCATCCTTGGCGCGGGTGCCACCCGGTCTGCTGGTCTCAAGAACATCACAACAAGACATCTGGCTTTGGCATCTCAAGCGTTGTCATTCATCGCAACATTGATCCCTCACATTCGAGAGTTTGTTCGCCGACACACCGGCTCGGGAGCCGGCGTGTCTAGCCTGATGGGTGAGTTCGACAAGGTCAGGCGCCTATTCCAGGAACACCAGAACAGCATCTACGACAAGCTGGTGGACATTATGAGCGGACGCGCGTCACAGCACTCAAAATCCATGAAGACGATCGACTGGGACCATGACAATAGCCAGTCGGCCCACGCCTACATGGAGACGCTGGCCAAGGAAACGACCACTCTACACAGGGTACTGACCAAGCACCTGCCGGAAACCTCGGTGCAGTTGATCATGGGCCCCGTTTTCGCAAGCTACAAGGACCAGTTCGGCAAGGTGTTCCAGGCCGCAAACACAAAGACGGGTACTGGTCGTGACAGGTAAGCCGCGCTCCGTCTGGGAAGCCCCTGGGCATCGAGCTAACGTGCATACAGCATGCTTCGTGACGTGGATTTCTTCACCGCCAAGCTCGGCAAGCTTGATGGGTTTCGGGACACGGGCGATTACTTGAGGAGCATCATCAACTCGAAAGAGATCAAGGCAGCCGCATCGCCGCCGCCGCCGCCGTCTGAAAAACAGGCGGATGGTGGATCGGAGACAACAGCCTCAGGCAGAAACTCAACAGCCGGGCCGGGAAGCAGACAGAGCGCGGAGGGGTCGGCACAGGCAGAGTCGCCGCCTGCCGTCGAGGAGCCCAAGCAGGCATCATGATGTAATTTAGAGCGGAGGCAAAGCGAGCCTCTCACTTGGAATTCACTAGCATACCAAAGATGGGGAGAAATACCGTCGAGTAAAGTTGTGTACGTCTTTGGAGAGGTTTCCACATGCCTCCTACCGTCAGCACCTGTTCGGTCAGAGCCTGTTCGCCCCGAGTCGCACGCCCCGAGATACGAGTGAGCCCGGCGACGCGCCAAGGTGCAGGACCACAAAACCGTTGAGCTGCCGCCTGGGAACCAACAGGCGCGCGGGTGGTTGCCGATGCGGAATTTCCGCATACCGGAACGTAGACGAGAGGTATGATTCGGCTCTGATCAAATCCACACGTTCGGGTCCCCGGCGGCCGCTTGCAGCCGAGAGAGCACTAAATGCTTACCTCCCCCCCCTCCCCCCCCTTTTCCGGCCGTTGATGGCACGGATGAGTACGAAGCCCGCGCGATTACACATACATACGTGCAAAACGCGCCCCCTCCCCCCCTTGGCGGAGGGTGACGACTGCTAGGATTGTGGCTTTGGCTTTGCTGACGTTGCCTTTTAGTCGCGGACGGGAATGTTTGTCCTTTGTTTCCTCGCCCCCTGGCCACGTTGTCTCCCCTCCGACCCCACCTGTACTACCTAGGTATGTAGAGCGAGCGACCGGGGGGGTCGTTCGTCAGCAGGTGGGGATAGTGCCGAACGACTTGAAACGCCGGGAAGACGGGCCCCTGCCACCCCCCCTTCCCCTAACACTACGTTCGCTGGTTCGTCCCAAGAGAAGGGACGCCGGAAAACAAGGAAACGGACAGAAAGGCAATCAATCTCGTGTGGGGCGGGGGACGGACGTTGCATTCCTAAGTATGGATCAGAAGCCCGGGAGCCTACGTAGTAGTATTAGCAGTGGTAGTAATTACGGTGCTGGTAGAAATGTCTATCCATGGCTAAGGACGGGAGGACTACGGATAGGGGGTGGGCGTTTCCCAGTTCGAGGGCCACGCCCAGGCCGCTCGCGCTTTTTATTTTTATTTTTTTATCATCACTTTCCCTGTCAGCGAGCGAGAGAGAGAAGACCAAAGCGCCGGCTCCCCCGCGGCACAAGGGTTGCTGAACATGCCATCACGGGGAAGGAACCCGGACCAAAAATCTACCCCCTTTCAATTTCGCCATCTCCCACACGAGATGGGGCGGACCGGGCCAACGACGAGGATCAACAGCAAGTTTACAAGTCAACAACAACATTAACAACAATAACAACAGCGAGAGCACGGACTGGACAGGTAATTTGACGTGGGAAACGGTTGTCTCTATCTTCCGGGATGAGTTGGAGGGAAAAGCTTGACCCTACTAAGTACAAGAAGTTTGTTCAAACTATCAAAGTTCCCTTCACAAGTCTAAGAGAGAAAAAAAAACAAGAAGCTCCCTCCGCGCTGTTGGGTGGTTATCCACAACAAGATCAGATAACCTCCCGACCCGTGAAGGCCAACAAGAAAACGAGGCCCGTTTCCTGGATCAATCGAAGATCTCTCGGCGTGCTTTGTGTGCGGAGACAACAACACATGGGCTCCCTCACGGGGTATGAGGGGGGAGAAACGCCTAGATCGGTCCAATTGCTCCGGTCCCACTGAATTGCGTATGCCCCGGTTTGAATACCAAAAAGTGCGTCCAAAATATATATATGGAAAAAAAATGGCTCTCAATCCCGGAGAGAAAAAAAAAAAAAAAGGTTTCTTTCCCCGTTAAGCTCACGCGTACCCGCGCTCTTGGCGTGTGATGGGTATCTTTTTGTCAAGGGGGAAAAAATAGGCGAAACGATGCTGAACTTTTTGATGGTCCGTCATCATCGTGAAGAAGGGGTCATCAAGTCGTAGCGCACAGCGCGGGGGCGGCGGCGGGACTGGTGGTGTTCAGACCCGCCGCGGCCGCTTTTTGGTGTTTTTTTTTTCCCTCTCATTCCTCACGCAAAAAGACATGAGAGAGGAAAACCAACGAAGGAAGAAAAAGAGGTTGTGCTCCCGAAGCTTAGTTGGAGTACTTGCCCTGGACGAAGTCGCGCTTGTAGCTGGGGGACTCGTGGTGGTCATCAACGTCACGGCGGGAGACAGCGCCGTTCTTGCCGAGGGTGCAAATGAGGTCGGTCTCGGAGGTGACCTTGGTCTGGACGTCGTTGGCAAGGTAGTAAACGTTGTTGCAGGGGAACGAATCGCAGCCTGAGATGGGCTCAGTGCCGTTGGCGGGCCACATCTTCTTGACGCCGTCGTGGTCGTTGGGGTTGACAATGGCGGAGACGTCAAAGTAGGTCAAGCCGTTCCAGCCGTTGAAGGCGACCTCGCCGAGCATGCCAGGGGCGTTCTTGGCGCCCTCCGAGACGGCGTACCAGTTGCCGATCCAGGATTCAGGGATCTCAACCTTGACCTCACCATTGCCGGGGACCTCGACAGAGTCGATGGAAGCAAGGCCGGAGTTGGGGGTGAAGTAGACGGTGCGGGTGGCGTCGTCCAGAGACTGGAAGGTAACGGTGTTGGCGGCGGCCAGAGCAGCGGCGGCGCCGAGGAGAGAGAGGATGCTGAACTGCATTTTGATGGTGGTGATGGTGTAAGTGCCAAAGAGTTGTGTGATTTGAAACTGGAGGTTGAAGAGTCCGGCAAACGTCGTCAACGGTAGTGAAGGATCAAGGCAGCTGAGAAGTAGTGGTCCTTTCAAAAGCGTCTAGCTGATGGTAGAAATGATGATTGCCCAGGGATGGGGTAGTGTGGTGATGGACTCGAGCTCTAGCTGTGATAGATGGGAGTTGAACGGACCGGGGCCGTCTGGGTGCTTTCAAAAAAGAGTGAGAAGCTGGTTGTGAAGAGAATGGGTCTGTCTGGATCGACAAATGTGAGAGGCTCGGCCACTGGAAGGATAGTGATTGTGGGATGGTATATCAAAACCGGGGAAGGGAAGGCTTCATGGGAACCGCTTCGTACTTATACACATGTCAAGAGAGGGGCAGCCTAGAAAGGATTCTCCTGCTCATGAAATGGCTGCAGTGGAGGTGCGGAGCTGGGGGCGTCGAGGACGTGGGCACGTCTGAATACCACAGTGGAGACATTAGCCCGAGGGTGTTTCCCAGAGTTACATGGAACGCCTCCTTCGGAGAGTGGGTTCGCATGCTTGGGCGCCATGATTCTTGTAACTTGTACATGTCGTAGTAACTTGCCGGTCGTGATTGGATGTGCCTGTGAATTAATGGCCTCGCCAGGTTCAGAGTTTTCGGTCTGGCGTCTGGCCCAGCAGTTCTCCCAGGCCTCCCATCCTCCGTGGCTCGGCCGCACTAGACAAGGTTGTCATGGAGGGTTTGGAACTGGAACTGGAACTGGAAAAGAAACTTGGGCAAACAGCCCAATCTCAGAAACAACATCTCGGTAAACACTTGTTCTAAACATGCTTGTTTCTGGGGGTGTCGGTCCCTACTCTCGGACAGACCCAGGCTGTGTCTGAGCTTCCTTCTCAGTTTCTGGCGCCAGGAACTCCCTCCCTCAGGAGAGCACACGGGAGCAACGCGGCAGCGTGGACAGGTACTCGGCGTTAAGCATTGGCTCTCACGGACTGGGCGGCGGGTAGTCGAGGGGGCCGAGAGGAGAGGGCTAGAGGTAACGGACAAGGCGCAGGTATCGAGGTGCTCGGCGTCAGCAGGCTGCGAGGACGTGCTGGCACAAGATGAAAAAAGCAACACGGACGTCAGCCCTTGGCGCCGTTTGTTAGTTTTCTTAGCCGCAGATGCGTGTTCGGCGTCGTCATTGGGCGGCTACTGGCTGCAGGATGTGCCTGGTACCTGACGCTAACAACCAACTCCGCGTGGCGTACCCTGACAGGCCAGACAGAACCAAGTCGTGGAACTGGACTCGAGGCAGGCCAACAACGACAAATCGGCGCGCCGGCTAACAATTCGTAGCGGGACAGGGGCCATTACGGACCATGGCGGGCTCTCTTTTGGCGGGCCAACTTGGCTGGCCCCCTCATCCTTAGCACCGTGGCCCTAGCCAAGGACACGCAGATACGACGATTAGGAAAAGATGTGCCGGCCACTACCGAGGCTGCCGGACGGAAGCTGGGAGGGTGCGCGCGGGAGAGCAGTGCCAGCTATGCCATTTGGGTAAACGCCGAGGGCCGCAGTACGTGGCATCACTTCCCAACACATCGGTTCGTCTGCACTAGGGAGAATCGGCTGATCAATGTGACGAGATGCAGGTGACGGGCCAGAAAACCAGACGACACTGACAGCACTCGCTCGAACCGAAGCTGGCAAAGACTGGACGACGGTGGGCATCGGGTGCTGATGCAGGAAAGGCGACCTTCTAGGACACGGAGAGGGAGGGGAGAGAGAGACAGGCCAAAACTCATTTCAGCAAGGGAGAAGGAAAAAAAAAGAAAGAAAAAACACATCGCCGTCACATTAGTGCGAGGGGAGTATGGCAACAGTACGGACAACCATCTCGGTTGGCCATCCTTCAGGCTTTCTGTGACGAAGGCAATGACACGACCGTGGGGGATCCCTCTATTGTTTCCCTGGCAGAGTTCATCTCCCCTGGCCGGAAGGACTTGGCAATGTGCGAGTTGGAAGGGAGGGAGGGGGCAGAAGGGGGAAGGAGATAAAATTGGGGGTTTGGACTTCAGTGGACGAATCGGGGAGGTGTCACCTTGGAACGATGGTGAGAAGTCGAATCCAGGACCTGGTAGAGGGTGTGAGGCATACAAGGAGGGCCGGCTTGTGCCTGTCGATCACAGCCCGAGTGTGTGGTGCTCCGAGCACTGTAGGGAGGGCTGTACAGTGCCTGAGCCGAGCGTCACGAAGAGATAGATGAAGAGGCGGTATGGCTGTGTTTCTGCTAACAATTTGCCTTGGCTATTTCCGTACCCGGTACCAAGCTGAGTTCCCTGGGCACTGCCCCAATGTCCGAACGTTCCCCTCACTGCCTGTCTACCCAGGAACAAGTTTATGCACGCAGACGGCCTAGTCCCGTCCATGCTGTCTGTGCCTGCATATCTGTTGGGTGGCCTGGATCCTTAGGTGCGGGACTTTTTGTGCTGAATATTTTTTTACATCTTTTTTTGTTTCCTTTTTCCAAAGAAAAAATTTCTTCCAATTCGCTGCCTGAGTCATCCGTGCCGTGTCTGCAGGGCAATGCGCTGTAGCTTACGGCACAAGCCCAACGCCACCACCGGACCGTCAGTCAAGACTGCGGCGGGCGAGTGCTCAATATCGCCGAGTTATCCTGCGCTTCTGGCCCACGTCGGCTGGAGCAGATTAGTGTATTCTCCCACAAGGTTGTGAAATAGGTAGGCTAGTCGTTTAAGGTATGGTTTAAGGTAGGTGATGTGCTGCAAATCGCAATACCCGTCAGTCTGGTTGCTCATGTTTCCTCAATCCACTGGGCATATCTTGCCCGACTTGGTCGCCAGCACACATGCTCACATGCTTGCTCCTAGAATCCCACTAAACGGTGGTGAGCAGACAGGGTTGGCACACAGCAGGCAAGCGAAGCAAGCCGTCACATGTCTTGTGCGGCCCGTTGAGCAGCTGTACGTGTACATTGGGACGGGGACGTTCTCGACCGCAACCGGGTCCCACTGACCATCGCTCACTCTCCGACAGTACGAATACGTACCAAGGCTGCTGCGGTGTACATTGTACGTCCCCCCCCCCCCCCCCTTGATGAAAGGGACTGTTTGCTGCCGAGTTACGGCTTGTGATTGCCATAGTGCCAACCTAGGTAGGTACATCATAAGATACGTGTTATATAGTACGTAACCATTGGGGTTGGGACGCCGCTGCCTCTCAAGGAACAGGTACGGATACGTACTCCGTATCCAGGCCGATACCGTGTGTACTTGTGTACACACCTGTCAAGGACTGATCTGGCCATGGACGGAAAGAAGGTCCGTTAAAGTGGGGCTTTTGCGGGTCATTCTCAGGTGAGTTTTGGTCCAATGCAGGAACCGTCCTGCAAACGGACCTGCCTAGACCTAGGCTTCAACTTACACTCGTCCCACACACTCTGCTCCCTTTTGCCCCAAACGGTTTTTTTCCCTCTTTGTTCGTCATTAATAATTCCCTCACACCATCACCATTGGCGGCGGTTCCCCACCAGTTTACAGCCCCGTTGCATTCGGTCAGTAGGATACTGATCTCGCGGTCTGTATATCCGCTTCAGGTTGCCCCCGCAGCGTCGCCGTCCGTCCGTCCATCAGCCTTGGAAGCGTCCATGACGGGCTCGGCCAACTGCCTGACCGACGAAAAACCCGTGACCGACTCTGACCTCATCGCACCCATCGACTACCCCTCCAGATGCCTTACGGTTCCGTCATCTCGTGCGAGTGTCTCCTCTTCCCCCGCAAGGCGTGCTCACACGGTACACCGGGCCCCCCAATCGTCGTCGAACCAGCCTGGTTGTTGAGAGTTTTTTTTTCCCTTTCAACTGGGTGAACGGGAATTGAAATTCTTTCGGACTTAGCTTAGCCTCTTGGTCCTCTTGGTTGTGTTGAATTCGCCTCTCGCCCACCGCGAAGGTTTCTCCACCAATGTCTGTCCGAAGGCGTCCCGTCTAGTCAGAAGCCGTGGCATACGGGCGAAAAGAAACTGGGTCTGAAGACTTTTATCTAACCCAGACACCTTTAACCTCGTGGCGCGAACGGACGCTGTTGCCCACGGCCCTGGGAAACAGGACTCCTCGAGATCTCATACTAGCTGTGGGTGCCGGGCATTGCCTGGTTCCCGATGACCGACCAATCGATCGAGCTAACAAAGGTTTAGGATACATCCTGAGGCCAACACTGGACAACCAGGATGCCTGAATACTTTGTCGATGAAAACTTGCCTCGCTGGTGTGGTTACTCGTGTGATCTGGACTTGCACAGTTTGAGGTCCTGCTTCCGCGGAAGATTTCATCGCCGGGAATCAGCCCTCGCTAATTTTACGTGGGAAGACGACGCCGTCGTGCGATACAACATGCCAAGCCGCATTGCTTCTGAGGCTACTGCCGTAGTGTGTAGTTTCTGCTCCTTGAAATGACCAAACAGTCGCGCGGAAGGACGAAATTTTCTTGGGTGTTGCTCGTGAGGCCGTCGCAACTCGGTTGCATATGCGCGGGGGCCAGGTCTCTGCAATGGGGTGTCAGCACTCGTGAGGGATAAATCATTTTTTGCCCTGGTAGTCAGGGTTTATGCCACTCAACCGGAAAGGCCTCATGAGAATCGGTCACAGTTGCTAACATTGTCTGCGAGTGCTGACGGCGCCATCTGCTGCGCCGCTGCCCCGCCACTTCGATTCCAAGCCGTATAGTTGCGGCGTATGGTCGCATCATCCTGTAGAATTCCGCAAAGAGTCAAAAAGCGCCGAACACGAGCCTCGCATGCCAGAGCCCGGGTGTCTCTCGTTTTTCCGTCTAAGTCTTCCTGTTTATCCGTACTGGAGTTGACCGGCGCTCCACGGCCGGGTGAAGTGGTTTCGCAGGCCGTCACCCTGCGACACGCAGCCTGGCCTTTGACGATGGCGGCTTTTTTTACCAAGAGCGTTGGAATGCAGCAGACTCTCGATGATTTTCGTTGAGAATCGACTCTGCTCAGTTTTACACGATGTCTACCCAAATCTGGTGGCACTATGGTTGACAACACGAGCTGTCAGCTCTCGACCCCTGCTATCGCATAGTCACTTGCCCAAAACGAAACCAATAAAGTGACCGGTCCAATGAGAAGCTGCGTGATATACGCAACATCGTGCCAGGAGAAGCAATGGCACCATTCCGCACCAGCCTGGCAGGACAAAGGCCGCCTCGTATCATTTGTCCTCGACCCCGTTGGGAACAGAGTCATACACCCGTCTCTTAGCCCCATCTGGCGCGATAGTGCGTACCACCTGCGCAGGCGCATACAGTCATCGGTACCCGTTGCGTATCGTTACCGAGGCCATTGATGGTCGAATCTGGCATGGAGGACAACGGCACGCCCGCCCGACAAGATCGCCTCCAAGGCAGCACACAACTTTAAGCTGTGTAAGCATTTGGTCCCAAACCCTTCTGCACGAAGGGCCTCTCCGCGCATGACGGCCCCGCCTTCGTGATACATAAGGCGAGCGGTGCCTGGCCTGGATGGTTCCTGTTCTCCCCAAAGTCATCGACAAGCAGTCGCCTCAACCTACCTCTACCTCATTCCACTTAGTTGCTTTATAGCGTGCCTTTGGCAAACGACTCTCGCTTATATCAGAGAACACTTGATCCCACTCCGCAATGAAGGTTTCGCAGTTATTGTCCGCAGCCGGACTCGTGGCCTCCACACAGGCTTGGGGGACCGATGTCCACACCTTCTACACCACAGTCGTGACCACCGCCTACGAGACGTACTGTCCTGTGAGTCTCGATGTGGCGGACCGAGAGGCGTGATGAACGAGACTAACCCTGCCCGCAGTCGCCCACAACTTTCGTCCACCAAAACGTCACTTATACCGCCACCACGGCCACCACTCTTACCATCACGAGTACGACGCTCTCATCTATCTACACACTTGTACCTAACAAGACTAACACGGGACAGACTGCCCCTGCACCATCACTACCGACAAGCCGCCCCAGCACATCCCGACTGTGACGGTCCACCCGATGCCGTCGTGGAACAACACCTCCGTGCGTCCGCCGTCGGGATGGAACACCACCGTCACGCACCCGCCGGTCATCGAGACCACGACCCCGCCGCCCAAGCCTACCTACTACCACAACACCTCCGCCGTGGTCGAGCACACCCCTAAGCCAACCAAGCCGAGCCACCGCCCCGACCTCACCTCGACCATCGTGGTTATCGTGCCCACCACCCCCGCCACTGACCTCCCAACCAACACCCCTGTCGGACCGTCCACCTCGAGACCCGTCACCGTCCCAGGGAGCGGTGCTGGGTCGCTCACCGCGAATACCGGCGCCCTTATCCTGGCCGGAACCTTTGCGCTGCTCTTCTAATTCTAATTTCTAATCTGGAGTCCTTGGGCGTCTTTCTGTTAAGCCTGGCAAGAATTACTATCAAGGGACGCGATATTGTAGCGGATCACTTTTTTTCCTTTTACATTTTCCATTTCTATTCTAGACCTTCCTTTATGGCCGGCAAAAGTGGGAGGGTAAACCCGGATGAGCATTATTTGATACCATGTGGTACATTGGACATTTTAGAGGGGAAAAGGAAGCACCGCGGTCATCTTTTGGAGTACTGGGAGAGACAAGGATTCGGGATTCTGCCACAAGGAGGGGGGATATTATACGCACACAGTCCTTACGAAGTAATGATAATACAAACGGGGTGCTCGCGGGGGAGCGAGCTTCGCCAAAACGATCCTTTGAAAAAAGAGAAAGAAGAAAGATCTATAGGATATCAGGTTGTCCCCGAACTCTTTGAGCGGTAGCGGTGGTGTTAGTGATGATGGTCGGCGAATAGGAACCCGTCGAGACTTGTCATGCAACGTTATTTACCAAAATGACCGCCGGGGCCAAATATTGTTCTCTTGCAGGCTGACCGCATAATCACCTCCGGCCTTTCTGTTCGAACCATCCAACGAACCCGGACGAACCACGCAGCAAATCAATTCCGCCCTCTAGGGGCCACAAGAAGGCTATTCGTCGCCCGACGGAGCCGAGCGATGGCCCATCCCCAGGCCACCGGATAATAAGAGGGCAGGGACTAATGCGCCTCTTCGTATCCTCAGCCCGCTGACCTGCACGCACTTCCGCTCGAGAGGTCGGGGAAACGGAAGTCCCCTCACTCCCCTTCCAAGTTTACCACGCCAAGCTAAGATTTTTTTTTAAAAAAAAATCCCTTTTACTTTCGTCTATTGTCTCCATGAAAACGCGGTCCGCATGGCCCTCACACCTTCTTCCCGTGTCTTGCCAGTTCAGTGAGTTGGGCGTTGGGCGGACGGGCTCGACCACGAGCCAAGCGCATGGTTCGTGGATCTGTACGAGGAAGGCGGCGGGAGGCACATTCGAACAGGGATTGCTGGCTGGCGTGATGGAGGGGTCCGAGAAGGAACGGTCGGGATATAGAGAGAGAGCAAGAATGGAAAATGGCGGTGCCGAAAACCTCGTATCTGGTCATCATGCGCCATAAGCACGCCGTACCCGGCCTAGCCCTCCGTCGACGTATCCCGCCTCCCTCTTTTCCTGCATCCCAGGTCTGCAACAGCGAGAGAAGAGGCGTTCGCAGAAACGTTGCGCCTTCTAGTATCGTCAGAAGGGAGGGTGGGATGGTTGGTTAACCGATCGTGAGCTTATCTGGAAACGTGGTACGAGCTTCTGGAAAACGAAGAAAAAAAGACAGAAAAAAGGCGGTGCCGCCCAGGTGCTCGTGGATCGTGACACTGCCGCCGGGGAACCTGCCGGATCTGGTGCCCCGTTATCTGGTCCCCTCCCCGTAAAGATGGACGTGCGTGGGGTCTGTCCTGCCTGGGAAGCGCAACGTGTAAGCCAACGACGGGTCCCGACTGATGGGATGAGGCCGCTGTCAGCACGGCCGACCACCCGTCACGCGGGGTGCGTGTATCTGGAGAGCGTGTTCACGTTATGGTATCTCATTACTATATGCCCCGGATGCTCCAACGACCCGCGCTTCTACCTCTAGAAAGTTACTCAGTGTCGTGGTAGCTTGCGCTCTCTTTTGCTTCCCCGGACGCCTAACATCATGATCCGATGCGAAGGGCCATGCGATCCCGCGCCGAACTATGGCAGCATGGCTTTTCCTCCAACACCATCCATTTGATTGGTTTTCTTGGGGGGGAGGGGGATGCGCCATACGAAAAATGCTTCGTTGGGTGCAAGAACACCCTGCAAGACATGCGCCCGTCCTTTCGTGCCAAATCAATACAATAAGTTCCTTTCGCGTGGACAACCCGATGCTTTGTCGACATACACCCGCGCTGTAAGCCCCCCCCCCCCCCCCACAGCCCAGCTCGTCCTTTTCCGCTTCGAGGGCGCCCGTCGGCGACCTGAACGATCGTGTCGACGCAAGGACGCCATGGAGAGTTCTTATTGTCCACGACGCCCAAAGCCTCCGCAACCCAATCTCCTGACCATCCAAGCCGGATCAGGGAGTGAGGCCTATTTCCGCGTTCCTTATGCGCGCCCTGGCTTCCCTCACCAGGGCCTTGGCCTCCTCCACCTCGAAGCCGTCCTGCGTCAGTTCGGTCCCCAGCCGGTTGGCTGTGGCGTAGTCCGCTGTCCGCATGGCATACTTCGCGAGCCACATGCGGGCCTTGCTTGTTGACGCAGTCACACCGGTGCCCTCGCTCGCGCCCTCCTTGCGGCCGTCTCCGTTACCTTCGTCGTCGGACGCGCCCGGGGAATCATTATGTATCGCAATCGATTCGTTCAGCGCGGCGTCGGGGGCTTCTCCGCCCTCCTGCGCGAGGCAAAGCTCCATGTATGCCTTTCCCTCTTCCTCCTCGCCGAGGTGGTCGTACATGCTGGCGATCTGGAAGAGCAGCTCCGGGTCCAGGTGTCCCGTGGCGCCCCGACCGTTGAGGAAGTCTCCGCCGTTTCCGAAGCTGCTCCCAGTATCGTAGTACGCGTCTGCCAACAGGGCCCGCTTCAGTGCCTTGATGCCGTCCTGGTCGCGGCCCATCTTTTGCAAGCACGAACCGACGGCAAGCCACATCTTGCCGTCCCAGGGCCGCAAGCCGGCTGCCTTTTTGTAGTACCAAAGACTGTAGGTGTGCATCTCCAGCATCTCGTACGTCTGACCAAGACCGTACCAGGCTCGGTAATCCCGGCGATTGACGTCGACTGCGCGACGGTACGATTCGATTGCCGCATGGGTGTTCTTCAGCTCCACGTACTCGTGGCCCATGAGCGTCCATGCCGACAGGCAGGTCCGGTCAAGGGTCAAGGCCCGGCGGAAGTACTGCACCGCCTTCTCGTGCATGGAGAGAAGGGAGTAGTAGTTGCCCACCACGACACAAGACTCGGGGCGGAACTTGTCTATGCTCGAGCACAAGTGCGCGAGGAACGCAAGCTTCGGCCTCAGGTTCATGACGTAAAGGATGTTGGAGTAATGGTCCAGCGAGTCGAGCCTGTGAGGGTGCAGTGATAGAAGTCGACTAAAGTTCTGTTCGGCGGCGACGAGGTCTTTCGAGTGGTACGACAGCATGGCGTTGCATGTGAGGAGAAAAGACGAGTTGGGGAATATGCCCATCAACGAGTCCAATGAGTTGGCGAGTTCGGGGGTCGCCTGGTAGAGCTCTAGTGACGTGTAGAGATGCCAGATGAAGGAGACGATGTTTTGCGGGAGATGCTCCGCTATGCGGCTCAGCTGGACAACGTTAGCTTTCCGCGGCTCTTGGACACATGTGGCCGGCCGAAGACTTACATCGTCTACTCGGGAAATGAGCTGGGTCATTTCCAGCCAGCAGCCCCAGTTCATCGGGTACAAGTGGACGCTTCGCACAAAGTAGTCCATTGCCTTGTCCTCATTCTTCTCCTTTGCGAGGACCATGCCGTACCTAAGTCTTCGTCAGTAGCTGTGCGCATGTGTAAGGAGCCGGATGAAATCTCACAGGTACTCCAGCCAGCCCTGACTGCCGAGGACCTCGCCGTCGTCCGTCGTGCGCTCGTCGAACCAGTTGCTGAGGAACCGGCTGACAACATTCAGCTGCTTGTTGACTACGTTTCCGAGGTCTTGGGGGCCCATGACCATCTCCGAATCTTCATCCTTGCGCTTCTCCCCGGACATAAACTTGGCGTACAAGGCCAGGAACAAGCTCTTCTGGCTGAGCCGGGGCAGTTCCGTGCTGCTGCCCACAGTCCTCGTCTCGGCCTCCACTTTTGTCTTCCCCTTCCCCTTGGATGCCCTCAACGTCCCTGACGATCCTTCGGTGTTGGAGTTCAGTACACCTGACAGGACAGAATCCGGCAAGAAGACGGCGGCGCAGCGATCGAACTCCCTTGAGTCGAAGAGGGCTTTCGCCAGCAGGTACTTGTTGATTTCCTTGGCCTCCATCAGGCCCTCTTCGGGGTCGGCGTTCGCTGTGAAGACGGTCGGGACATACTGGGCGTCGGTATCGGCCGCGGCGGCATCGATCGAGGGTTCGGGGATCGCATTGAGGAGCTCTGCTGCCCTGGGATCAGGTCAGCAGCCGTCGCGTGCAAGGGTCTTTTACGACGGGTCGGGGAGCTTGCCATTTTGCGGATGAGTACAGGCACCGCTCGGAACACTTCACAACTGCATCCTGCAGGGACTCGCGGAGCTGCGACAGCTCATTCTCGTTGAGCGACATCGCTTCGCATCCTTGGCCGAGACGCTAATAAAAGTCGGTAGGTCGGTCGTCTGTTACTTGTCGCGCGCGTTCGTGGACGGTAGGCAACCGCGGGCAACGGTCAATCGGTCCGAGTTGAAGAATGACGACTACGCCCTACAGAAATCGGTTGCCTGTGACGCAAATGAGAGGAAGGACCGGAAGAGCAGAAGCTGCCAGAGTTGCAGGGTTGCTGAGGTTGGCGATGTAAGTGTTGTGTTTCTTTTACCTGACATAGTTAAGCCGACGGCAGAAAACAATCCACCGGGGGACCCCCAGCACGCGCTCGGCGCGACGGCGCTAAAGTGACAACTGACGGCGTGCCTGACCGCCAGCCGTGTGGCGTGCCCCTCAGAGCGCGGCCACTAAAAGGGTTCCGACCCGAGAAGTCAATTGGGCGTCACCGTCAGCACCATCCCGAATCCCCACCTGTTCCGCTGGGGGGTTATCGGAGAGACAGCGGGGCCTTTGGGATGGTCCTGCCACCGCCTGCCATAACGGTGCCTGAATATCGGATGATGGGTACCCTCACTAAGTCATAGGCGCACTATCGGTGTAAACCGTAAACCCAATTTTGATGCTGGCATAATTTAATTTCTGTTGCGACAACAAGCTGCGTAGATATAGTCAGCAATCATCCCCCTTTGCCCCTAAAAGTTTGTCACCCTCGTTTTCCTTGCGCTATTACCAGAGAAAGCGGCGTGTCGCCTTCTTTTATAATTGTCTGGTCTTGTGTTTTTTTTTGGTTTGGTTTCCGTCTTGCTAACAATCACGCCCCTTGAAAGACCACTCGATCGTTATACCCCGCCGAGCCGGCAATCAGACTAAACCGCATCAGACAAGATGGCCAAGAAAACGACCCTCGCCGAGTTCGAGTCCGTCTTCCCCAAGCTCGAGGAGGTCCTCCTAGAGCACGCGCAAAAGTACAAGCTTCCCAAGGAGGAGTTGGCATGGTACAAGAAGGCAAGCATATAGCCACACCGGCCCGAGAAGCTCCGCTACAGCCACCACCACCACCACCACCAACACTACCATCGCCGACACGACGACGACCAAGCAGGGTCGCCGTTGTAGGCGCGTGCCGTGATGTTCGGTGGTGATGGTGATGAGGCAAGAGCACAAGGCACGAAGAACAATGAAGGTTGACTGTTTCCGTTTTTTCTTGCACCCCAACAGAGTCTCGAGATCAACACCCTCGGCGGAAAATGCAACCGCGGCATGTCGGTCCCCGACTCGGTCTCCTATCTGCTCGGCAAGCCCCTTAACGAGGAGGAGTACTTCCAGGCGGCGACGCTCGGCTGGATGACGGAGCTCCTGCAGGCCTTCTTCCTCGTGTCGGACGACATCATGGACACGAGCATCACCCGCCGCGGCAAGCCCTGCTGGTACCGCCAAGAGGGCGTCGGCATGGTCGCCATCAACGACGCCTTCATGCTCGAGGCCGCCATCTACACGCTGCTGCGCAAGTTCTTCCGCGAGCACGCCAGCTACGTCGACCTGCTCGAGCTCTTCCACGAGGTCACCTTCCAGACCGAGCTCGGCCAGCTCTGCGACCTCCTGACTGCCCCCGAGGACAAGGTCAACCTCGACAACTTCAGCATGGAGAAGTACAGCTTCATCGTCATCTACAAGACGGCCTACTACTCCTTCTACCTGCCCGTCGCCCTCGCCCTCCACTGCCTCAACATCGCCACCCCCAAGAACCTCAAGCAGGCCGAGGACATCCTCATCCCGCTCGGCGAGTACTTCCAGATCCAGGACGACTACCTCGACAACTTTGGCCTGCCCGAGCACATTGGTAAGATCGGCACCGACATCATGGACAACAAGTGCAGCTGGCTCGTCAACCAGGCCCTGCAGATCGCCACCCCCGAGCAGCGCCGGATCCTCGAGGAGAACTACGGCCAGAAAGACAAGGCCAAGGAGGCCGTCGTCAAGAAGCTCTTCGACGACCTGAAGCTCAAGGAGCGCTTCGAGGCATTTGAGGAGAAGCGCGCCAACGAGATCAAGGAAATGATCAACAACGTTGACGAGAGCGAGGGCCTCAAGAAGGGCATTTTTGATGCCTTCCTTGCCAAGATCTACAAGCGCAGCAAATAGACATACCCGTGCACTTTTTTGCTTTTTTTTTTTCCCTTTTCTTTTTTTTTTCTTTTCACACTTGACCATCACTTAATGCGGTCCCCTTCCGCCCCCTCCCAGCCAGCGAGGCAGCTTGGGGTTTGCAAGCGCGGGGGCACAGGAGGCCAGGAAAAAGGAAAGGGAAGAGGAAAAGGAAAAGATACCTAGCTCCGATCGATTATTTTGATGCTGATTGACAACGACAATAGACCGTTAGAATCAAGCATATCCATTATTTTTTAAAGTAGACAAAGGAAAATTTCTCCGACTGTATCTTGAGAGACCTTTTTTTCTCCTTCTTTTCCGTTGTTTTATTTTCTTCTCTCCAAGCCTCCCCTTCTCTCTTGTTCCTCAAAGTTGGTTCTGTGTCTGACATAATCGTCGACACCCGGGTATCTTCCATGTTAAATGACCCCCCCATTACACCTAGTTCGCGAGCGCCGTCTCTGCGCATCAATTTTTTGTTAGTATCACAAGTACGCCGCCTTTCCTTCATGCGCGTATTTCTTTCTTGTCGGGCCTGTCGCTCAGCGCTTTCCCAGAATGTCTGCAACGACGCCAAGTCGCTGCCCGCCGCATCAAATGACAAAACTTAGTGCCTGACGGTACCGCTCCGGCCTAGACCTTGTGACATGCGGGGCTTCGTATCACGGCCTCTGTCACGCTCCACAAAGTTGATGAGCGGCAGGTCCTCGTCGTCTCGTCTCGACCGTCTCGGCATCGACGGCACGGGAGGCTGCTCGCTGGAGACGACACGACGCATAGCAGCACCGCCTGCCGTCGAGCGACTTCGCGGTCTTGAGCCGGCGGACTGAGACGCCATACGCTGGGGAGGGTAGGCCTTCGCGGTGGCCATACGCGTGACGGTTTGCAGTTGCGGCCCCAGGGCTGCGTCTGGCTGGTCCCATCCCGTGGCCATCTCGATCAGAGGCTTGCCGTTAGGGACCCTGACACCGCGGCCCTGAGCGTCTCGCCAGGTCGAGGGCAGGTGGGGTACCTTGGGCGTCAAGTCAACAAGAGGCTGCGGCATCTCTCGCCTCCCTGAAGACGACCCACCGTCCGACGTCCTCGGGCGCGAAGAGGCGGGCAAACGTGTTGTAGGAGGGCGGGATCGGGTCCGCGGCAGAGGGTTCGGGTCCGCCGCTGTGGGACGAGAGGACCGCACAGTGCCTCTTCTCTCTAGTGGTCTGTCGGACTCCGGAACCTGATTCAAAAGCGAGTTGCCCCCGATGAAGGGACTGTCGGATGTGTACTGCTGTTCCTCGGTGGCGGCCTTCTCCGCCTGATGTTTCCGTCCCTCGTAGCCGCGGCCTAGCAGACCAGCAGACCTGAACTCCTGATCCCTAGCGAAGGGGTCAATAAGCCCCTTCCCGGTAGGCGGGGATACGTGGGGCGTCGTCCTTGACCGCGAGACAACGTTGTGGGTGTTCCTAGGGGTGGAGAGCTGCTCTGCCGGTCGCGCTGCAGGTCTGTCCGTGTCCTTGCTGTAGTCATCAATTGGCTTCTCGAACTTGTCCATGTCGAGCAGCGGAGAGAATGTTCCGATCGTGTAGGGTGTCTCGTCGACTGACGCCTTGGCCCGGTGCACGGTTCCGCTTCTAGCAAGACCGCCAGCTTTCTCGGCACCACTTTGATGAGACTTTGTCTTCTTGGTCAGGTCGACCTTCTTGTTGACCAAGTACCAACTGCGCCACCCGTGAACGATGCTCTGGAAGTCATTGGCAAGCCTGGCGTCGTCCGTGGCGAAAAAGTGGATAAAGTTTTCGGTATTCTGGAAAACGCTGTTTTTCTGCTGGCTCTTGACTACGATACAATTCTTCTTTGGTGACTTGACACGTTTCAACATGTCTTTCTCAGTGACCGCGTAGATGTCGAAGTCGGAAAGATGGCAGAGCGAGACAGCGTCCTTGTCTGACATCTTGGCATCCTTCTTTTTAGCAGAAAATATCTGGCCGCTATCCAGAAGCGTGATGTACCGCTTGTTCCACTTGCCGGGACGGTTACAGTGATAGAGGGCGAAGTTGACGAGGCCTGGTGGCGGATCAAAAGTGCGCGGCACCCGCTCGAGGTTCAGTTCGGGGTTTTTGTCTACCGAGTCACCTGGGACGATGAGAAGGCAATGCTGACTGTCGCGGTCCCAGGAGTTCATGACGTCTCTCACACGCTCGTAGCGTCTCAAATGACGTTCCAGGCCGTAGGAAAAGTAGCACTCTATCACGATGCTGGTTTTCGGGTTGATGTTGTGGGTCATGAGATTAGCAGCCGAGTACAGGATGTCGATAGGAGTTGTATCGGGCGTCACGGGCAAGCTGATAGATGACTGCAAGCAGCGTACAGTCACCCGCTGAAGACCAAGTCAGCAACGGCTCACCTTAAAAGAATTTTTTTTTTTAAAAAAAAAGAAAGGAATAAAAAAAAAAAAGACTGATGGGTCAGACGAGGGCGACTCACGCGTTCTCCGGCGTTGCTGGCCGAGGCCGGGGCGTCGGTCTGGGGAACAATGCCGCCGCCGCCAGCTTGGATGAAGCGAGAAGGGTCCATGTCGCTTACTGGACTGAAATCGAAGGTGAGGGGTTGAAAGTATGTCGAAGAGGCCTTGGTGAGAGTGTTAGGAGGATCGGACCTGCGACCTTTTCTTAGAAAGGAAGCGAACTTGTCGACTATGGGGCTTCGCACTCGGGGCGGGGCGTCGGGTATGGCATCCAATTGAGCCTGTAGTCGAGCGAGATCCTTTGCCTTTTGGTCTGCCAAGATGCGATCGGTCTCCTCTTCGAGACGGGCAACCTCTGCAGCCCAACGGGCGGCGTCTTCCTCTTCCTGTTCCTTGCGACGGCGATCTTCTTCCTCCTGCTCGGCTTGCTGGCGCTGGCGTTGTTCGTCCTCTTGGGCAAGATGATGGTCACACTGGGCAGGGGGGGTGTTTTCCTCGTCAGGCACGGGCTGAAGGGCGAGCTTGGTGATGATCTGGGAACGAGCGTAGTCGGCTCTGGCAGAGAGCTTAAGGTCGGCGCATGATTTGGAGGAGAGAGAGGTGGGGTTGTGCGAACGAGGCCGAAGATGAGGGCCGGGGAGCGGGAGGGGAAACTGGTCTCGTGCTCGGGTTGGGATGGGCGGTGGTGGTTCAAGTGGTGGAGGAGGAGGAGGGCGTGGTGGTGGTGGTAGTAGTGGTAGCGGCGGCGGTGGTGGTACGGTTCCTGGCGCCGGCGCAAGCACGAGTGCATCTCTCGTTGCCGCATCAGCAGCAGGTGACGTTCCAGCGGCTTGTTGTTGTAATAACGCTGATCCTGCAGGTGGAACGGGCGGACAAGGGCCAAGAGGGTACAAAGGGTTCTGAGTGGAGGAAGCCCCTGGGGCGGGGGACCTGGACCCAGAACGGGACCGCGCTAGGGAAAAAAGGGAACCGGGCTCGCTGGGGGGTCTTGGTCTGGGGCTGGGGCTGAGGCCACCTGCGTTAGGATAATAGGGACCCGCAGGCGACCGGGACGCGAAAGAAGACGGCGAAGAAGGAAAATAAGGGGGCGAGAAAGACGCTGCTCCATGCAAGGGGCTGTCGACCCCATTGGGAGCCGTCTTGGGCCGTCTTCGGTTGGGGTAGCTGAACCGCACAGGGGAATCGGGCCGCACTGGGATACGTTTGCCAGTGCCGGCGCCGTTTCCTCGGTTGACGGGCGACTCTCCGTCGAAACCAAACTTATTCATAATTATGTCATTGCTGTCGCCGTTCTCGTCTCTGCTGCCAGCGCTCGCAGACATGAGATCTTGCCACTGCCAATGCAACGTCAACTGCGGTGCCCCGGTCGGTGTTTGCGGCGTCGGAGAAAACGACGTCAGCAACGGCGCAGTGCGTCGCCTCGCCGCCGATGCTGGCCTTTCCTGCTGCTGCTGCTGCTGCTGCTGCGTCGATGCCGATGCCGATGCCGATGCCGATGTTTGTGCAGCCTGCGTTTCGTCGAGCATCGTTTCCTCATCGACGGCAACGCCGATACAAATGCCAATGCTTGTCGCCGTGCCCGTATCCGTCGTGGCATTCGACGCCGTCTCATCGTCCCGGAAAATGTTCACATCCCAGTCCCGCCAGTCTTGGCCAAAGTCCAGCACGCTCCTGTGCTCCCGTACGCCTCGTACGCTCCTGTACCGCGTCAATTGCCCGGCGGTGACGCTGTGGCCCCGTCGAGGTGGATGCGGCGCAGGAGATTTCGGTGGCCCAGGGCCCGCCGACATGGTTCGACTCATTCGCGGAAACCCTTCCATTTGCGCGATATTATTCCTCCTCTCTCTCTCTCTCTCTCTCTCTACTTCCGTTTCTGCGTGCGTGTTCGATTGCGTGTGCGATTGCGTGTGTTTCCGAACTTCCGCCTGGGCAGCGACGCGAATCCTGCTGCTGCAACCGGCTGGGCAAGCGACTCGGTACCGATTCCTTCGACGCTGCGCCGCACCCAGTCGTTGACCGGCGGGATAATACGAGACGGGGCGGTTCCCCCGGATCCTCGATGGTAATAAGCGATGCAGGCGGCGGCAGCGGCCCAGTCCGCTGGAACCCCTCGAGCTGATCCCCCAACGCACTGCCTAGAAGGTTAACGTTATTTTTTGCGTCGACCCTGCAGATCATGCAGGTGACAGATAACGACGTTGAGATGGGGCGTCCGATCCAATTCGTGTCTTTCGGTCCCCGGCTAGGTGACCTCGACAAGGGGGATTAAACAAGAAGCCACTGATTAGATTAGATGGCCACAATAGTAGCACTAACAATCCAACAACAAGCAACAAAATTAATGATTGGAAAAGTCGTCGTGTCACACCAAAGTCGACTTCGGTGCAACTGGTATGGATGCCGAAAGGAAGAGGGCGAAAAAAAAAGGAACAAGTGGCGAGACCTCTTTCCATAAGTCGGCGTCCGCCAGGACGGACGACAAGGGAGACTTTTTACATCTCTCCAACTCGCATCCCCTTTCTCTGCCATGAGAAGGGCCACACATTCGGAACGCGTCAGTTTGGGCCCGTCGGCTGGCGAGGTATGCGACACAATGCAATGAGGCACGCGCCCACGTCGCATATAGAATGCCAGTCTGCCATGTTTAATTTGCACCCGTCGATTGTGTCATCGCGCACCCCTCGAAGCTGCATTCCAACCTGGCTCCGTGCTCCGTCTAGGACCGGCCCATCATCGTGTTTACACTCTCTACAACGAGCAACGCGACACCAGTTGGCACTCACAGAGGCAATCGACGTGTCATGGGCCGCATTTCAGCTCCTGGGATGGACTCGTAATCTGGAATTCGCCCGTTATTGGCACCGTAGCCCTGTTTGTCTCTGACTTCCCCGCCAACTCTGGTCACCCATTCAATCGAAGAGAGCTTGCCCCTACAGGAACGATTTTTGCAACTCCATATGGGGAGGGTCCATCGCTACCGCACAACGCCCAGGAGCGTGTGAATATGTACAATGCCTCCAGGAACAAAGACCGAGAGCACATCATACCCGCCAGCAGGATAGCACTTTCTCGGTTCTCAATGAGTCATCCTCTGCACATGCCGCGTTTCAGCTTTCCCCGGACCGCTAAATCGTCGATGCAGATGCGTGCGCTGGTACTGATCTAGATTAATGTCGGAAAGCGTGCACCTCACGTCTCCACCAGCCGATGAAGTCGCTTGTCGACACGTCGATGCCCAGTTCCTTCAGCGCACGCGTGCTCAGGTGGCAGTCGTATGGTCGCTGGACGCTCGCGTTCGGGTCGTTGCCCTCGGTGTTGGCAATGATGCCGTCCATAGAGAGGCTCATGATCTCTGCGAATTTCTGGCAGATCTCATACTTGGTCATCTTGTCCTCGCTGGAGAACTGGAGAGCCTTGGGCATCGAACTACGATCGCCAGCCTCGAGGTATTTGACGGCGATATCTAGGCTCGCCGGTCAGTCATCCTGTCCGAAAGCTGAAAGAAGTGTGCCTACCGTGGCACACACGACCAACATCCTCCGTGTTCGTAGGGTATCGAATGGCCCAATGGTCCATCTTCACCTTGGACTGGCCGTCCTGGGTCTTCCACAAGGTTTCCATGAGGATGTTGGTGGCGCTCTCTGCCGGCGTGTCAGCCTTTCCGTAAAGAACAGGAACCCGGAGGACGAGGCCGAGGCCTTCACGGCCGGCAGCCTTGTACTCCTCCAGAACGGCGAGCTCTCCGTCCAGCTTGGTCTGGCCATAAAGATTTGTCGGTCCGGTTGGAGCGTCTGCCTCATAGGGGGCTTCTCCGGGCTTGCCAGAGAAGACGTAGTCGGTCGAGATGTAGATGAGCAGGGTAGAGCGAGCAGCACAGAGCTTGGCGAGCGACTTGGTGGCTGCGACGTTGAGAGCTCTAGCGGCATCCGGGTCGCTGTCCACCTTGTCTGGAAACCTCTGAGCGGCGCCTGTTGATCATCACCGTTGAGTCAATGGTTTGTGAAGAGGAAATAGACACATGGACGGCTGAGACACACAGTGTACGACTACTTGGGGCCTACCATGATCGGTTAGTCCTGCTTGCTGCTAGATTGATGTTGAAGACGAGAAGCCGGCTTACTTGGACTCATCGAGAAATTTCTCGACCTCGGCAGTGTCACCCAGATCGACTTTGAAGACGGAGACCCCGTCGGCGCGGGAGTAGCCGGTGCCCTTAACGTTCCAACCCCGGAGGTCAAAGGCCCTGGCGACCTGTCTTCCGAGAAGACCGGTGGCTCCGGTGACGACAACTTCCTTTCCCGTCATGTTCAAATATCCAGGGCGGTCACTTTGTATGTTTTTCTGCGTTATTTGCGGCGGGAAACAATGTATGTATCGGTCTTGATCTGCAAACAGTTATGTTGGCACTCACAGAGGAAGCTCAGACAGATAGCTTTAGTCACTCAGCTACCCCGCGGTGGGGTTCCCTGCAGTGGAAGAAATCCAATTGGGCCGACTATCGGATAACTACATCATCGTCACCTAATGCATAGAAGATTTGCACGAGCATTTAGGTACTTCTCTCCTTCACATCATCACCACCACATGAAACCGCAGCATAGTAGGGCATGGCAGTCTTGCCTCCTCTCCACTTGACGAACGATCTCCGAACATGCATCGCTGCGGCGAATTCCGGCAGGCTTCCTGTGACTGCGACATGCTAAACTAACCATGCCACCGTGGTCAAGCGCCACGTTCCAACGACGAGCCATCCAAGAAAGCCAATTCGGCTCCAGGAATTGTCCTAATTTTAAAAACAAAATCCCCGCCGAGGAAATGTGTCTGCGTGTCGCCTCGAGCAGAACAGGGGCTACACTGCTATGTGCAACGATGGTTCGAGCCCCAGCGCTACCTTGTTGTTTCCATGGAATGGGAATGCCTTAATTCTTCGAGGACGAGTCATGACTTCTTCAACGCCCAGTTTTCCTTCTTACAGCTAGCTATGCCTTCGATGCCGTAAGCGAGCAGATGAGGGCACTCTTCCGCTAGTTTCCTAATCACATCCGGATGAGAGAATATCCGGCTGCATATGTCAAAGGACTCCGGACAGAGCGGGTTGTCTTTGTTTTCCTTCCGAGATGGCATTTCAGATAACACAAGCTGCCAGGTTTGCGAGAGGCAATTTCCTCTCAGGCCAGCGCTCCCTTCAACCACACTGGCCGCGTTCGTGCCTACCGTTCATCAACCAACGGCTGCCGGACTCTCAGCGCTGCCTTTGACAGATCTCCTGGGGACTCGCTCGAAGCATGCACAGGGAGGTCTTCGCCAAGCCTCTCACCAAGCGTCTAAGCGTGGCCTGCGCAACCGATTTCCCCACCCACGACAAGCTGAGACCTTAAAAGGCCTTTTGTTGGAAGGGAGGAAGTCTGAAGCGAGCTTGGCAGGCAGCGCATCCTCCCTTACCGATACGAAACTAACAGCCGGAAAGCCGGGCAAGCCGGCGACTCGGCGCATCGAAGTTTCCATTTTCCCAACCAATAGCACCTCGGAGCTAGTCTTATCGTTGGGTGGGATTGCGTCGAGCCAGAGCGGGAAGGAGTTTCCAGACAACAGGCGTCCTGACTGGCTCCGGGAGAGACCGGCAGAGATCCGCGGGCTTACCCCGATACGGATGGATACCATGGACCGCTCGCTGCGTATCGAGTCTTCAGGCTGCATGTCGAACGTCGTTTCGCCGACGCGAAGTTCTCCTCACGGAATACAACCGGCGCCGAACTGTCTGAGCAAAAAGCATCGTCTGGGAACTGCCACTGTCCAGTTAACCCACTAGGAAACCCGTTGTTTTATACATGTCTGTTGGCATATGGGTAATGCGGCCGGAGGCGGTGGGTCACGTGACACACCGCCTACTGGCAGAATCCCCACTCTTGCCCATACGTAAGGGTGCTGCCACACTTATGCTCCTACTTTACCTTGTTAACTAGTTAACTATTAATAACCACAAATTTAACCACCTTTTCTTAACCTTTGTAATATTACAAGATATAGGATCCTATTAATTAACTAGTAAAAACTAATATTAATTAATAGTTAATTATTACTAATAACTAGTAATTAATAAGGCTTACTATTATAAAAGTTTACTTAGCCTACTATAACCTAGTAGACTACTAACTAAGTTAAGTATTATTAAGGCTACTTTACCTTTATAAGAAACACTATAGTGTCTATTATACTATTAGAACCCCTTTAATAAGTAAGAATCTCTTTTATACTAACTATAGTACTATTAAGAAAAGATACTTAAGTAGTAATAATTACTACTTTATTTAACTTTTTTTTTATCTTTATATTTACCTCTTTAAAAAACTTATCTTTATTTACCTTATATATATAAAACTAACCTAGTACTATCTAGAATTATAAGTATAAGTTATATTAAAAAGAAAATTACTACTTAATTACTACTATAAAAGTTATATAGTAATTACTACTAATTAACCTTAATAATTAACCTTATAATAAGTTAATTTAGTAGTACCTTATACTCTAAGGTGCCTACTTTTATAGTAAAATATATTAACTATAAGAAGTATAGCTAAGAAATCTTTCTTAATAAGTAAAACTCTTTTACTATTTACTTTTACTTTACTTATTATATAGCTAAATAGGCTAAATATACTCTTATAGATTATAAGCTTTAGAAAGACTTTTAATATTACTTTAATAGATAAGATAAAGCCCTCTTTAGTACTACTAGTAAAGTACTACTATTAATTTTTTATAACTTTTTTCTTAACTAAGGTGTCTTTATACCTAAAGACTATTAATAAATTACTTTATACTTTATTACTATTATTAATAATAATAAGTTTTATATATAAATAAATAAAAAGTTAAAAAGGTATAATATAAGTTAATAATATTTAATAGGCTTATTAAAATATATAATAGCTTCTTAAATAATATTTAATTTAGTTATATTAGCCTAGAGTAGTATAAGTAAAAATAGTAATAGTAACCTATTACCTATATAACTAAATAAAGCCTAGTAATATTTATAAACCTTAAGTAATAACTAGTAATAATATAGGCTTAACTTAATAAATAAGTATAAAAGTTATAGTAGTAAAAGTAGTAAACCTTAGTATTACTATAGTAAACTTAATCTATATAAGATTTACTATTTTCTTTATATAATATAATATAAGGACTATTTTAATAAAGTAATAGTCTATTATTCTTTTTTACTTATTATTAATTATAGTAAGGACTTTTTACTTACTTATATACTAATCCTATAGAACCCTAAGGTATAAGATAACTACTACTAATTAAAAATAATACTATTAGTAACTATCTTTCTCCTTAGTAATTAGGTACCTTAACTAAGATTATTACTAATAAATCTAAGTATACTAGTAAAATATATAATATACTTAATATTAAGTTAAACTTATTTTATAATAACTATAGTAAAATTAGTATTAAAAGACACTAAATAGTATTAGCCTTCTTATTAATACTTAAAAGTAAGGCTTTTACTTTTTATTTTACCTAAATTAGTAGTAAGAATATTTAAGACTTTACTACTATAGTTACCTAAATAAAAGCTTACTTTAAGAGCCTTAAAGCTATTTAAATATACTTTACTAAGTAGTAAAATACTACCTTTTACTATATTATATATAATAACCCTAAGAAAAGTAAGCTTAAAGTACTTAAGAAACTTATTAATAAACTTAACTTTATTTAGTAAGTATTACTTAATAGCTACTATAATAATAAAGTCCTTTAATTCTAGCTATTAAATACTTACTCTAGAGTTTATAAGTATAAATTATACTTATTTAATCTAGTGCCTATATTAAAGAAGTCTATAACTAACTATAGTTATTAGTAAGTACTATAATAAAATATAATAATAAGGTTAACTAGTACTAAGTAGACTTTAATAATTAATACTAGGTTAACTATACTTACTATAGCTAAGAGTATAACTAGTAGTTTAGTAATAACTATAGTAATAGTAACTATTATAGTAATAATAATAGTAACTATAATACTAAGAAGTACTATATTTACTATAAGCCTAGTTATTAGTTAATAAAATATACTACTAATAAGTAATATAAGGTATATTAATAATTTAAAAATAACTACTAAGTAAAAGACTTTTTATTAACTATATATTAAACCTTTTTTACTAGCTATAAAGATAGTTACCTATAAGAAAAAGAAGATAATAAAGATAATAAAGACCTTAGTTACTATCTTTAAGTAACTATACTCTTAAAAGTAGTAAAAATAAACTAAAAGGTAATACCTTTTATACTTCTACTATATTCTTTAGTAGTACTACCTTTAGTAGTAATAAGCTTACCTTTAGCCTAGTAGACTAAGCTATTTATTACTAGTTAATAAAGGATAACCTTAGTATAGTATTATTAGATCTAGCTACCTCTTTTATATTAGATTATTACTTATTAGGTACCTTTTAAGGTATTTTACCTAATATAGGTATAGTAACTTTCTTTACTACTAGTTACCTATAAGTAACTATATTATAGTAAATCTAACTATTAGTAACTATTAATATAGCTACTACTAGCTAAGTAAAGATCTAGTTTAGTAGTAGTAATACTATTTACTTAAAGAGTACTATTATAGTTAGTATACTATTTAGGCCTATTACTTTTTATATAATACTTATAAATATACCTTTTTTACTTTACTTAGTAGATATAAATTAACTACTTATTTACTTTAATAACCTTATAAATACCTTTTAATAAGGTAATATTATAGTACTAGTTATATAAAAATAAAGGCATCTATAAATACTCCTTAGCCTACCTAAATATAGCCTTACTAGTTACTACTTAACTAATATAGAGTTATAATAATTTTACTAATAATTTAGGTACCTATTAGTCTACTGTCTTTATAAGGTTTTTTATAAGGCTAGTTATAAGGTTAAGGTTAAGGCTATTAAGCACTTAACTAAATACTACTATTACTATTAGCTCTATAGAAAAGTACCTTTATAATTTAAATTTACTTTATATAATAACTATTCTTTTAACTATAAGGTTATTATTAATATTATATACTTTAAAGGTAACTAACTAGTTCTTTATATTATTAATACTATAACTACCTTTAATATAGTATACTTTTTTTATAATATTTCTATAAAGACTATATAAAAGGCACTTTATTACTACTAGATTAACGTCTACTAAAGACCTCTAGACTAAATTATTACTAATATAGGCAAAAACTTTACTATAACTAAATTTTTATATAAAGCCTATATAATAGGCGTTAAAGTTAAGATTATCTTTATTAAGGTATACTATAGTATTAAAAAGGTTGAATAATACTATATAGTGCTCTAATAGGCCTATAAAATTATATATAAGGAGTATATTAGTAACACTAAGGGATAGGTTAATATAGTTAACTATATATATTAGTAGTAATTAATAAATAATAGGGGTAACTATAGTTCTTTATTATATATAAAGAAAAGAAGGATAATTATTATAGGTTAGTTAGTTAAATAACTAACTTATTACCTATAAATCCTTAGAGAATCTATAGCTAAATATCTAAGGATTTACTAGTAATAAGTTATTAGGGTTAACCTAATAACTCTAATATTTATCTGTAATAGTTAATATTATAACACTAGCAACTTTCTATAGTACTAGAAATCCCCTATTATTTATATCTAAAAGAATAGCTAAAAAACATAATAAAAACAAGAAGCTAAAAAGTATTTAATACTTTTTACTTATATAGTCTATTATATATAAGAAACTTATTTATTTATTTATATCTTTAACTACTTATTATTAACTAGCTTTTTTAATATATTATTTAGTAATAACTTTATAAACTTATCTACTAGGTTATTACTACTATAAATCTACTATATTTTAAAAATCTTATAGTGTTTATATAACTAGTAAAAGGCTATAATATTTATTATAAGTTACTTCTTCTTTATAGTGCTAAGCTTTATAAGGCACTTATAAAGTAAGTATAAGTTAGTGTAGAGTATTATAGGTATTTATAGTAGTTTAAGGTAGTTAGTAATTATTATAAGAGTAGTACTAATTACGTAGGCAATATTAGCACTAGTAACTATCCTATAGACCTTAGAGGTAAGTATACTATATATAACTCTTTTATACTTTATTAAACTAAAGTAGATAATATTACTAGTTAACTTAAAGCTTTTACTGTTAGTAGTAGGTTACTTAATAATTTATTTATTAGTAAGAACTATAATAAAGCTAAGTTAAAAGGTAAGGTTATAGTTATTTATAAATAAGCTATTAATAAATATAAAGAGCTTAGTAGTTATAAGGTTAATTAGTAAGAATTATAGGCTATAGTTAAGGTTACTAATTTACTATTTAATATAGTAGTTTAGAGCTTTAATCTCCTTTACTATAGGTAATTAGTGTTAAGTAGTAACTAAATAGTTAAAGTAAGCTTTAGGTTAATAGATAGAAGTAATATATACGCTATAGGTATATTACTAGATATAATCTTACTAAGCAGTAGGTAATTTCTTGTTAATAAGTTAGAGCTTTTTACTTTAGCCTTTTTAGTAAAAGGTAAGCTTACTGTTAGTAGTAATAGATAATATATTACTATTAAAGGTAATAAAGTTATTAACTATAAGCAACTGCTTAGGTTTTACT